AAATATTTATGGGATATTTTACGCCAGTCAAAGTGTTACTAGAGATCGCCAAACATAGAATAGCTTATCACAAAAAATGTGTCTTCTATTCCTTATTATATCACCATTCACATTGGCCCAGCATGGTCAGGTGGTTAGGGCATTCGACTCGCAATCCGATGGTCGCGGGTTCGAATCCCAATCCAACCAAACATGCTCGCCCTTTTAACCATGGGGCGTTATAATGTGACGGTCAATCCCACTATTCGTTAGTAAAAGATTAGCCCAACAGTTGGCGGTGGGTGGTGATGACTAGCTGCCTTACTTCTAGTCTTACACTGCTAACTTAAGGATGGCTAGCGTAGATAGTCCTCGTGTACCTTTGTGCGAAATTCAAAAAACAAAACATCACCAGTCACATGGAATATGTGGTTTTTAGTCAGAAAATGATAGTAGCTGGTCCAAGTAAGATACCTGAAATAACTAAATGCCTACTATATCGTGCTGATTTTATAATTAATAAGACAAAATATCTATTACACAGTAACCGAAACTATTCAAAGCATTGAACAAAGTCTAAAACTCCAGGTTCATGTGGTGAATTTATTAAAGGCTTTTGACAGGAAAAATCAAAATTTATTAAAGTACAAAACTTGCAGCATAGTGTTGGTCTAATAACTGATCAAATAATTATTATTTCTAAAGAGAGACTGATTTATTTGATTTCATTTTACATCTTCAGATCGACTCATTTTTCTTAATGGACAATTGTCAATCCAGTTCTGTTCGTGGTGACAGATAAAAATGTTGGCCAGCGTAAGACCCAGTGGGTAGCCCATAGCAACTCCATCTATTTGTTTATATAGAGTATTGTTAAAGAGGATAAGTGACTCTTTGGTCCAGAATTCAAGCATAGATTTGAAAACAAATTTTTCATTAAGCTTCAAACCTGTTCTCTACAGAAGGTATGTTGATGATACTTTCCTTATTTTCCGCCATATTGATCATATTCAACGCTTTCCCGACTATCTCAGTTCACAACATCCCTCTATACACTTCACTCATGAAATTGAGACTACACAGGCTGGTTCATTTACTTTAGAACACAACTGACAAGACAAATTCTTCTCCTCTTCTCTGTTATTACAATACAATCTGTGATAATTTCACTTTAAAAATCGCCACTTTACGCTCATTATAATTAAAAAACCACAATCGTGCAGTCTAGATCTATCTAATTATCTAACTAAACTATCTATCTATCTAACTTACTCGAACTACATTTTGGATGCATATTCATAGCCCCAAAGAAGCCTAGAACGTTCCACACACTACGAAATATTGTGATGCAGTAATACTCAATTAAACCAGCAAGAAAAATTTAGAAGATTCTAATAACTATCGCTTCTAAAAATAATTAAATTTAACACTCGCGCTGTACTTAAACTATCTAAATCATAACACTTGTATTACACGGAAACAGTGGTATATATCTAGCAATAATAAAAAATACGTAAAAGGGAATGTATGGCGATTCTTTTCAATGGGGTAATTCAAAGCTGTGCCTCTCATCCTCCATTTCAGCACTCGTTGTATCAGTTATTACCTGCTACCACGAGATTCTTACCCACGGATTACACGAATAAGATTTAGGGCTTCATTGAAATTCTATATCAATTCAAGCTACACCTTGAACGTTTACGTTATTCACTCAGCAGGATCAGGCTGGAACTCCTCATAATATAGCAAATTGATTTCCTCACAATCTCTTCACAATCTCCCAAACGTTTTTATACCAGATTTACCTTAGTTCTTGACATAAACTGCTGTTTCTGTAGGTAAAAATCAAACAAAATGCAGCATGATTTCAATGAGTGCTAAAAAGAACAAACGTGTAATGATTAGGATGGACTGAGCATGATGTTCCAATTGTTAAAGAAAAGCGAGATACAAGAAAAAAAGTACACTCGGACCTGTAAGTTCGGGTGAGTTTTCCTCTTAACTGAACCATATTTATTTGATTTGACAAAGAATATTGCAGTTACTTAAGGTAGATACATTAGATGTCTAGTAAGTTCAAGCAGAGTAGTATAAAACTCATTAATAAGTATAATAGAAAATAAAAGTTTGAGCGGTTTTCTTAGGATATTCCTTTGTTAACAATCATTAACAGGTCAAAGCCAGTGGTCTTGATCCCAAAAAGTATGTTCTGGACTAACTGCATCGAGATGGATTACTGATGCAAATACAAGGTTACTCCACAAACTATAGTTATTGTTATGCGAGGGGTTTATTTATTACAGTTTAAAAAATGACAATGTTAGACTAATAAATTAGGAAATTTTTGTAATAAGCAACTCATTGAATTTCCTCCGCACATTTTAGTTAATGAGAAATTCGACCCCTAATACTGAGAATTAATTAATCTGTATGTTGTGCTTTAAAAACCTTGGCATTAGTGGGCCCAAAGCTTGGAAAAAATCCAGAAATAGAAACACCGTGGAGAAGGTTTAGTGAGTTGTTGTTGTCCATTAACAACATAAAAGTTGTTTTACGGACGTCCTTTGGGGAACAGGAAGGTATGTATGTATGTACACCTTTGGGGAACAGAGAGGTATGTATGTATGTACACCTTTGGGGAACAGAGAGGTATGTATGTATGTACACCTTTGGGGAACAGGGAGGTATGTATGTATGTACACCTTTGGGGAACAGGGAGGTATGTATGTACACCTTTGGGGAACAGGGAGGTATGTATGTATGTACACCTTTGAGGAACAGGGAGGTATGTATGTATGTACACCTTTGGGGAACAGGGAGGTATGTATGTATGTACACAGTTTCCATGATTATCAAAATCAGTCATTATTACTACTAAGCTGCCACACCTGAAATGAAAGAAATGTGATTTTGAAAATTGATTTTCACTTGTTTGTTTGTTTTAGAGCAAAGCTACATTAAGCTATATACTGTGTCTACCGCGGGGAATCGAAGCCCGGATTTTAGCGTTGTACGTCCGTAAACTTACTGCTGTCCCACCGAGGACATTGATTTCAACAGTATTGAAAAATGGCATAGAACCTGTCGAATTTAAATGGCTGTTATTTACGGTTTATTTGAAACATTATTGATGCAGTGTGTTTGTAATTAATTACGCTGAGCTGAAAATGTACTTTTATTGAAGTTTGAATAAGTTATCATGAACCACTCTCATGGTTCATAATAGGAATCACAAGGAAATGCAAAAAAACCCTAAAAAAAGGCATCTTACTTAATAAAGATTCAGTTCAAACAACACTTTAAAAACTCTGCTATTGACTGCTAATGTTGTACACTTATACATAAAATGTACAAAAACATGCATATTAAACTTATAAGGAAAAACAAATCTGCTCAAAACGGCCCGTTTGAAATTCTTATTTTTACCGTTATTATTCTCTTGCCACCCTACAATAAAAAACGGCTTGGTATATTGCACCCAAACCTTCTGTAGAATATTAAATATAGTACTGCGAAAGTCGTAGAGGTATTGGAAATTCGATATGTTTTTTCCATAATTTACATAAGCTAAAAAACATCATAATTCTAGTGTAAACCATGTTATCATTACACCTTGAAGTTGGCTTCCATATCAAGCTTAAGTACAGGGTGAAACAGGAATTACCAGCCAATAATAGATGAACGTTAGATGACTGTAATATGTAGATACTCAATGCCTTGTACACTATACGATCGGTATCTTTAGAGACCCAACCCATATATTATGTATAAAGTGAAGGAGTAAAAAAAATGTCAGTATACATAATATTAAATTTTGTTTCTCACATTCGTAAAATAATTACTTTACAAGACATGAAGGTTTATTTATAGCTATGTTTTAGACGTATATGTGGTGTTTGAAAAGGATGCTTTTCTACTGGAAAACTTTTAAACGTGCTTAGTGAGGGTTGTGTCTAAGTCTAGAGATATATTTGCCCATTGTTATGAATTATATGTAGAGAATTTAGTTACATGGAAACTATAAATGCTCACTATAATCTCAAACAAATCCCCATGCTTAAGCTTTTCCATCCCGAACTAATGTGATCAAATAGTCAATAGCTACAGTAAATCATCACGAACTGTATCAGCTAGCTACTAGCTACGTTTTATATCATTACAATGTACAAAGTTAGCTACCATATCAAATAATCCTTTTCCCACAAAAAAGCCAGCAAGCAAGATAAATAAAAAATTGGGATTTAAAAACCTGCAAATAGCGATCGTAAAAAAAGTAAGGAAACAAGGCTGGAAATACTTTGGACATTATTTACTAAAACTACAAATCCCTATTTTGACTCCACCAAATGTATTGCTAGGTAACAGCATGGAGCGAAAACAGGAGTTTGTCGTTTGAGTAAATAATGTCTACAGTATCTGCAGTCTTGTATCCTTACTTTTTTTACGATCCTTATTTGCAGGTTTGTAAATTCCTAATTTTTTGTTTATTTTATTAATAATATAATATAATAGGTTACTTGTACATGAAAGAATGATTTTAACTTCAAAATATCTTTTCATTTTTGCTCATTCTAAGACATTTTATCAATTCCAACTTCTAGGTTATAAACAAAACTCAAAAGAAAATTTCCTTCAATAAATGTCGCACAGTTTGTAATATCTTGAATTAAGAATAATATGGATTTACAGCGCTGAAAAAACTCTCCAAATACAATTGATAAGATAAACAAATCACTCTGTTATTATATTATAAGTTACAGCTTTTACAGTAAAGAGGGATATTTTTTGAACAGGAAAGTTAAAACGTGTATACTAGAAAATGATCACACGAGTGATCAAAAGGTCGTACCTGTTTTTAAAAAAATATTTTTATTTTATGTACAAACTGTAACTTGCAATAGAATAATACTTATAATCAGTAAACAAACTCAAACTATTAAATCATTGTGTTGTTTTTTTACTATTGTGTTATGTGTTTATTTAAAGTTTAATGGCAGATTTTCCATGAAAAAGTTACTCACCATCATAAACGACTCCAGCAATAAGACCCTGATTAATATCCAGAAATGGATGACTTAAGACAATATGAATATTTTCTTCCTTAGCTTCGGTAACGTTATCATGAATAACTGTAAATATGTCATCACAGTGAAAATTCGAAATATTTCCTAAGAGACCTCTTTCAGATGTGGCCAGTATTTGTTCCTGTGTTCTTTGATCTATTTTGTCCGAACTCCAACCATCAACAGCCCACACGATAGCCCAAATCAACACGATGAACATTCCTACAGGCTGGAGACAAGTAGGCACTCTGTAAAGAGGTTGCTTAGAACGAAGCACTGAAAGAATTGGCATGCTTTTATTGGCAGTTCCCAGCAGCTGAGTGATATATCAAACCTGTCGATAAACGTCACAGTATTATTACCTGAACGAAAAGAAAGAGACCACGAAGTTGCGATGTCAGTTGGTAGGAGATCAAGTGTTCGATGTTTCTAGAAATATATGTTGCTGCACAATCTCGTATGTAACGTATGTTGTCATTAGCCACCAGATAAAGACAACCTGTAACATCAATTTAAAAAAAGTTAAACATTTTCTATTCTCGTTTGATCAGTTTCTACCGTATTGTATAAAATCGTTTTCTCTCTATTTTATTGATTGAAAAAATGACGGAAAGTCGATGGTTTAAAACCTAGACTTTTCAAGCTCATATCTAATAAAAATATTAAGTACCCATAAATGTTAACAACAACCATTCTACTACCCAACCGAAAGTCAAGTTACTAATTCTCAATTATGTAATATTGTCTGGTCATTTTACTGGTCGGAAAGAAAAGATTAATTAGTTTTGCCTGCTGTGTTTCTTAAATAATCAAGGTGTAAGTTAAGGCTAATTGGTGTTTCATTTCATTATATTCTATAGGTTTCTACTGTTTATACGATAAAAACATTTGTTTCGGTATAATTGCTAATATTAAATTACTCATATCTTTAAAATATAATGATTACCATTTCTATGAAACTGTAATAAGCCAGTTAGCTTTAGAAAAAAGAATCAAAACATCCATGTCCCTTCAAAAATATATTCAACAATTTCTATCTAAAACTGTAAAAAAGAGATTGCATATTAAATTTATATAGTGAAAATGAAATACAACATAAATAAATAGTTTTCTATTTATGGCTATTTTCTAAAGAAACAAACACGTGGAGTTTATACTATAAACTTAGTAAAATTGACCATCACATCTAAAAGATAAATTATGTTTCAGGTTTTTAGGAATTAACCATTTCATTTGAAGTATAAATAGATCTATTCTTAAACAAAAGGTAAACTCGAACATGTCATTAAGATAACAAGTAAATTTCCTGCTTTAAAAGGAATAACAATGATCATCCAATTTAGAGAACAGATCTATTTTGCGTCTATTATAGAGAACACGTACACCTTTTAAGATATAAAACTAGAGGTAAGTCAATTACACCATTTTCAAAATTAATTATTTACTAGGAGTAATATGACTTAATATCGCTTTACTTTTTGTATTAGATTAAGTTTCAAAAGATATACGAAAAGTATCTGAAGTACTAATTCCCTACTGCACTTACTCCGTTTGTGATGTTTCGTTAAAGAGTTATTATTGCCACTTATGTTATATAAGTAATAATTTTCAGTAATTGTAACGCAATTCGCTAATTTTGTCAGGAAAAAACTACATTTATAATTTGTTGTAAACTATTTTTGTTTGTTTCAGATATATGACAGTAAAGAACGGAGTTTATACGTTTTTCCATAGTTCATTAGTGAACATAATGTACGTATTAGATATTGTCCAAGATGGAAATTATAATTACGAATCAATAGACGTCAATCTTTTGGGATAAAAATCACGTAAACTGTAGACGTTTTTTTTTATCAACATTTCTCTTAATTTCTCCATTTCAGATTCAAAATCAGAGGAATATAAAAACAGCATTTCAAATCTACTTTTTTTTTGTTTCCCAGAAGTCAATGCCCGAGAGGCCCTTCGTTAGTACCAGAACTTGTCAGATGGGCTGAACGGTGAAAGACTGAAGATTATACGAAACGCTATTTATATGTGCAGTTTAATACTTTAAAAGTTATGGTTTATACGCCAAAAGCCGGCGAAGCATTTAGTATCAACAAGCTTAAAACTTACGATAAGAATCGCGTAAATTGTAAATATGTTTGTTTCCACATTTTTCTTAATTTGTACGTTTCAGTTTCAAAATCAAAAACGTTTTAAATTAGCATTTCAGGTCTACCAGAAATAAGTGCAGAAGAGTCCTTTGTTCGATATCACAACTCTACAGTTTAGGTTATTTTTATCACAAATTATGACCTTATTGGGTTCTAAATGCTACGCCAGCTTTCGCCGTTTAAACCGTAACTAATTAAGAAAGTGATACTTTGTTTTTTCAGGAACGCTGAAAAATGAGATGTTTGAGAAAGACACTCTTTCATCAGATGCAAGTGAAGGAGAAAAAAGAATGTGTATCTCAAAACAACTGTTTATTTACCTTTTTCTTGAAAAAAAGTTATCACAGTAATATAGAAACCCATGATAGAATAGTAGAACCAAAATCCTTAGGAATATATATATATGAATATTTTTTTTCTGAAAAAGAAACAGATTATCTTTTTTTCTCTAGAGGATGCCCCCCAGTGGCACAGCGGTATGTCTGCGGACTTACAACGCTAGAAACCGGGTTTCGATACCCGTGGTGGGCAGAGCACAGATAGCCCTTGTGTAGCTTTGTGCATAATTAAAAACAAACAAACTCTAGAGGATATACTTCTTATCTGCATCAACATATTTCTCTACCCAAGATTGGTTAATTTTGTATTCTATGTTGTGTTAGATTACCGTTCTCAACTCTGCGCTAAACTTTCCAGTGGCCAAAGTTATGTACTATGGTCAGTTATCCCGATTGTCAAGTAATTTTAAATCTATTATTCATCACTTGCAAGATTCATAAAGTTTTAAAGATATACAATAATATTATATTTCATATTTTTATACTTTATTGTATTATATTGTTATTAATATTATTATTGGTAACAGACAATTGCTATTTATTATTAAGTAAAAAAGTATTAAACAAATACATATAACGCGCACAAAATACCTTTTGTTATTGAATGTGGTACAGCATACAATTAAACATTTGGTAAACTTGTAAAAAGTTTCGAAAACCATATATTTCAAGATATCTAATCTATTTATAACCAAAATCCTAGTGTAGTAAAGAGAAATGAATATAAGAATGAAATTACTGGTACACACGCAAAAATGTCATTCAGTGCGACTGAGTGGTAGATACTACGTCACTATCTTTTTTTACATTTAACTGAATTTATATAATGAAAACAAGATAAAAGTAAAACAAGACTCATGTAAACTTTTTGTCGCGTAATTTGTAGATTTTCATGACTATTCTCTGTAAATGGAACCCGGGATGTTCAGGGTTTGATACGTGCGTGTTTGTGTTTACCAAAACAGTTACTTGTGAGAAAAATTACTGTGTGGTATATGTAGGCTTAGCTAATCACCAAATGGTGAACTTCTGTGTCCCAGTTGGATCAAAATCAGATCAAAATCATTTTAAGTTGTCGTGTTAATTGGTACTCTGAAAGTCTACCAAAAGGTTTGTGAACGAATGTGATCCGAAGAAGGAAACGCTAGAATAAATAAGGTGGGCACAGAATTTAGAACAAAGGTAGATTTATTGAGAATTAGGTATATAATTACTTCGGCACGCGTCAATACATTTAATTTACTTATATATATAATTGGATAACATGAATAAACTTTTAATAAATATCTTAACTATTAGTATGTAAGAATACACCATCTGTCCTCCTAGCAACCTATATAGCTTACCTATCTACTAGTTAATCCTTCTTTCGATCTGTCTCTTTAATTATATTAATTTTTCTATTTATATGTCTATCCGTTTATTAAGTTAAGTATCTATATGCGTATTCGTCTAGTAGTCTGTCCATCTTGATATTCATTAGTCCATTTACATATATGTTTACCTATCTGAAAACCAGTTTTGTTCTTAATTCAGATAAAAGTTATTTTAAACAGCTGTTATTATCATGTATATCACTCTGGTTATAAACATGCAGAATGAAGCTTTAGTTAACTAAAACATAACCGCCCTCTGACAACCTAAATCTAAATCTAATCATTTTCTGTGATTAACTAATAAGTTTAAAATTTTATTATCAGAACCAAAAATATTTATTATAATTAGTCAATTTTCTTTTTCACTTTAAACCTCAAACACTCTCTTTTTCTTTACAAATTAAACAGGAGCATATTTAAGTTAATTATTCAGTAATCTCTGCTAATAAGTACTCATAAATTGGTTATTAATACAGATGTACATATTTTTCCTCGTGGTGCAGATATAAGCAATACTGCCCCCCAGTGGCACAGCGGTATGTCTGCGGACTTACAACGCTAGAAACCGGGTTTCGATACCCGTGGCGGGCAGAGCACAGATAGCCCTTGTGTAGCTTTGTGCATAATTAAAAACAAACAAACAATAAGCAATACTTTATGTCAAATCATATTTAGTTTTAAGTTGCTGTTAATAAGACTATAATTGGAAAGCAGCTGGATTGATTGATCACTAGTTAGATCTACAAATTGGTACCTCAATAGGAAGAGCGATTTGTTGATCAGTAGATCAAAAGTTATAACGTGGTAGCAGCTCAGATCTTTAGTTTAATTACAAGTAAATAGTTCGTTAATTAATCATGCTTTGCAGCACATCATAGTTGCCAAAATTTATCCTCCATCGATTCTTTAAATACCGTATTTAATATGATTTTAATATTCTTGATTAAGCTATGTAATAGTGCAATAATAAAGATAATATATATATATACGCAAAGAGAGAGAGAATTATGTAACAAAAAAATAAAATTAGGGTTAAATGGAACTAACGCAGAAAATGTTTCCACAAATTAAAGCAACTGGTAAATGAATGATAAGGGTAGTTAAGGGAACGCACTTAAAGTCCTACCTGCTAAGGAGGCCGAGTAATAGCTATACAGAGATGTATTCTGAAACGCAGAGATTGTTTCTTTCCAGGTAAGGAAATCATCCAATACAGACTACTGTTCCTGAGATCCCGGGCACCTACGTTAAGTCATCTAATACTACCGCCTTGCATTATCCAATGAAAGCACTCACCATAGTCCCGTCCCGGTGACCCAGCAACGTGTTCAAAGCATCACCAAGACTATACTGATAGATCGGTCAGTGCTGCTCTGAAATGTTTATGTTAGTGTGTGTTTTCGCGTACAGAGCTCAGCAGCTTGCTACCGAGTCAATGCTCAAACACTGGTCTGTTGCATCCTATTGGCGTTAGTTGGCTCTCCTGTAGAGGGCGCCAGATTGCGGTGTCATTACACAGGTGTAACACACTAATCTATTTCTTGGGCTCAGTCCTGTTCAGCCTTCCTTACCTGAAATCGTGTTACACGCTTATACGTCTTCTTTATAAGGCTACGATATCGATCTGCGAGAGGAGATGATCACAAGCTTCTGTTGTCCAGGTTTATAGCTCTGGCCGAATCTAGTTTCTGCTTGAATGCTTGGGCCAACTGCTTTGTTCTTGTTGTTAGAATCTAAACGAGTAACTTGTTGTTGCAATTTTTAAACGATTCCTTAAGCCATTTTCAGTTACAAAATATTCTTACTTAAACAACAACATTTTAACATCCTACGTAATGTGTTGTAATATTAGATAACTGTCTCATGCAAACACGTATGTGTTTACAAAATAAACTTTTAATTATGCAGATAGCTAGATGGAGTGGAAGACCATTTTAAAACCTATACATATACATCTCAGCTGATTTTTGAAATCAAAGTAGATATTGAATCGTCAATAGTGTATAAGTATTTGACAGTATTTATTGAGAAATATTAATAATGGCTGGAGACGGCTTAAATGGGTAATA